TTTGCATCAGCGAACTTCTGCTGGTTGAGCTGTAAAAAATTTTTCAATAATGCAACGACATTGCAGCGCGTATGGTACCGCAAATTAAAGCACTTGACGACAGTTACGCGAAAGCAGATATTGTATTGTCACAGAAAAAGCCAGGATTGTTTGAATGTCGTTTTGTTCTAAGCAAACCCGGTCGGTATTATTTCATGCCATCACTTGGTGGTGTTGCTTTTCCGGGATCACCGTTTGTGGTTCGTTCATTTTAATGACCGCCTTCTGGCGCATTTTTGGAGAATTCATCGCATTCATTTTTATGCGTTTTTTGCATGATATGCAATGCAGATAACGCATATTGACGAGTGGTTGTCTGTGTTTGTGTGTGTCTGTGCGTTCTCTACCGATTTTTCAGCTCGGGACCCACTAAAGCTGCAGGGCTGAAAATTTGGGAAATTAATCTACAAATGCGTGCGGGTCCCAGTCCCCAGATGGGCGTTCTTGTCGATGTAGTGCCAAGTACGGGCTTGTAGAAGTTTTTTGCGAGAGTTGTTAACTCGGGAATCAGAAGAGCTAAAAAACTGGAATTTTAAGGGGATGTTTCTGTCCACATAGGTGTTAACCAGTTCAAACTCAGCCCCTGAATATGCGTGGTTCCCACGTACGGATCGGTGGAAGTTCTTTTCGAGTAAGTTGCTAACTCGGGGACCTGAAAAGCTAGAACACTGTAATTTCAGGGGGATGTTCCCCGTCATTAACATAATGAGTTCAAATCCAGACACCGGATATGCGTGGTTCCCACTTACGGGCCTGTGCAAGTTTTTTTTCGGGTAAGGTGCTAACTTGGGAAACAGCAAAGCAAGAGGATGTTTCTTTTGACAGTCCTGGCGGCCAATCTCAATTTGTTTAGCTAGAAGCATCTGCAGGAAAAACCGGTGCCGTTAGCGACCAAAACCCGCAAGGAACGATGCAAGAGCGCATCTTTGCACCAGCAGTTGGTACACTGACCATTTATTTTTTTTTCCGGTGACAAATGAATTCCACGCAGTGTAAGGCTGTTTTTTACAGGTCGATGTTCAG